TTTGCTTGTATTAATATCGAAGAAAAAACGTTACACAATAGCATTGCTCGATTTATCATATCTCTTCACACATGAACTATTCAGGAGGTGTTTTCGAAGCGGATAGAACCGATAATTTTCTGGCCAAGCATTCAATATCTCTCTTTCAGTGTTAAAATTAGAAACAAATTGCTTGACTTTTTGCAAATCACTGATTCAACATCAGTATGTATCACAGCAAGCCTTCACACTAATAATGATACACAGTGATGTTTGAGTGTTCTTAGACTCGCTATCTTATGATTGGTTCGAAGTGCTTGCTAGTCACGTGCCGTTTGTTGCTGTTCTAATCTGGGGAAAATGATTTGTACTATGGACTAAATCAAACATTGCTTAATCTTTCTAAAAATGAGGGAGACTTGTGTTCAAATATTTCTATTAATTAGGATGCTTGAAAAATGCTCTCTGGGATTTTTTCGTTTGTAGAAACTCAAACGAATTCAACTCAAGTTAACTGGATGGATATTCAGGAGGACATACCTCAACCTCTTCTTTAAAAAAAACTATCAGAAAATCGCAATGGCATGCTATCTTTATCATTCATTTCGTCTTTACTGTTGCCTAGTATCTCTTCCAACGAGTGCATCCTCCCGGAGGGTAAATGTATTAGTTAGGGAGGAAATATATGTATTAGAGCAGATTCAGTCTTACTGTACTCCTCTGTGTAACGTAGCCTATGAAAGAAAGGAGTCTGTGTTGAAATCTTTTCTTTCAGTTCCGGATGTAGGGCGAGAAACATTTATTTGCTACTGCTTCATAAAGCATAACTAGATTTACTTGTTACTAGAAGAAAACTACTACTGATTGTGTTGCAGCCCTAGAAACCTTTCTTTGAATTGCCGTAAGCGTTATCTTTCGTGGTTTTGCTGTTTCGCTTTTTTTCCACGCTAAGTTTACAACAGCAGCGTACTTTGTCCTCCGTTGGCGTGGAAACTTCTTGCGAAACCTCGCTTTTATCAAAGCGCGCATATCATCGCTTTTAGAATGATGAAGTTGTGTTTGTCCCTAACGATGGTTATCGTAGTAGCTTATTCAAAACGACGACGACCTGTTTATTACCACATTGTTATCGATGATCAGCCTGCTGTTTCTCTGTTGAAACTCAATAACAAAAAGCTTTGATAGGAGCAATTGACTTTAACTACTCTTCCGTTTTTGATTTCTTAGAGGCCCTCCTTTAAAATGGCTAAACAGGTACTTGACACGGACACCTTACTTGAATACACAAATTCTGCATTAAGTTATTATGCAAGTCGCTTAGGTGTAGCTGAGGACTACGCGGTAATTTATTCTTTGAATTTCCCAATCAATTAATTTAATGCTGGATATGCTTTTAATTGTAACTTTTAGGTTTCATCAGATCCTGGTAAAGAGCTCTCTACTTCCATCTTCTACGATGTGGTACAAGCATTGGTGGCTCTATGGACATGCGTGTTCTCACTTCTTTACTCTTATGCATGGCGTCAGCATAGAAAGAAGTTTATCATGAGTATTGTGAGTGACTGAAAGATAATTTTTAATCATTTTTTTTCTCGTCGTCAACGACGCAGTTTTTCACCTAAACATGTGATAAGCATTCTTCACTAAAAAAAATCCCTAGCTAACTCAGTCTCCAATGGTTTTTTCTCAATACTAACTTAAGGACCTTGGAATGGGAATACTCTAATCGTGTTCTCTTCTTTCTTTCCTTTCCTTCCTTCCCTGTTCCTTTCTTTTTTCAAGATGATGGCCTTGGTTTTCTTCAAAATTTCGAAAAGCCACTTTTGCGATTTTTTAAAGAGTCATTTTGCGTTAATTTTTTTCCTCTTCGTACATCGTGGGATCTTATGGACCTCTAGATTTTTGAGATCCTACGCCCCCCC